AACTGAGGGTGTCACCATGTCACCACGTCACCATGTCACCAGGTTAATTAACTTCTTTTAAAAATGATGACAACATGACATTTTGACAACACAGCAGGATTAATGCAAAAATGAATGTTATCGTTTATGTTATCGTTAATGTTATCGTTTATGTTATCGTTAATGTTATCGTTAATGTTATCAGTGTCGAACATAATTGACGTAGGATTCATGACTTCTTCGTAAATGAGTGTAAATATAGCACAAAAATATATTTTAGGTGAAGAGGTGAGATCTCACCCGTTTTTTCACCTCATTCTCTTTTCGTTAATGTTGTCGTGACTTCTTCGTTAATGTTGCCGTGACTTCATTCTTCCTCTTTGAAGATGTCGAAATATTCTGTTATCTTTTCTTTCAGTAATGTTAAGTCTTCTTTGAATGTAAGTATTGTGCAACCTTTGATGTCATAGTGTGTTTGAGGAAGAGTACTTTTGACAATTTCCTTTATTTGCTCATTCGGTGTCATTGAAATCGGTAAGTTTTCACGATAGAACCAGTTTCTGTCAGATTTGTAAATCTTAGCAAGGTCATAAAAGCTCTTGTTGTTTCTTCTGACTAAATGCAACATAACCATATCTTTATCTTCTTCTTTCTCCAACTCTTCAGTATATATCATATACTTATAACTCTTTTCCTTTCCTTTTGGTACTGAACGTGGTATTCTTTTCTGTATGCTTTTGTCTTTGGATTCAATGACTTCATCTTTTGCTTGAAGTTTCTTTTCCATCTCTCCACGTTCTGCTTTATATAGTTCATCTAACATCATGAAAATATAACAAGCATAACGAGGTGAAGCCCACATTGCTACAGCATTTACTAAAAGTCTATGAACATAATATCCTTTCAAACCAGGTGCCAAATTCTTGCGATTTTCATACGGAATCTCTTCTCTCGGTTTTCCGAGGGAAGCAATCATATGAGGAAATTCTTCTAAAAGTTCTTTTGTCTGTTGGTTTTCAAACCAATGATATGCTTGCTTTGTAGAACGAAGAGCATTCATTATACTTTGCATTTGGTACATGTCATCTTTGACTGAACGAATGAGGCGAAGTTGTTTGTTATATTGTATGTATTCATATTCTTCATTTATGGCTTCATGAACGATAGCAGTTGTTGTGTTCTCTGATGTTGACATTACTGTCTTTACATACAAAATAAAAAAAATAAATAAAAATAAAACTAACTTTATTTTCTGACTTTCACAAAAGACCAAAAATAAACGCCTTACATGTATTTTTCAGCAACTTCGTCAAATAATTTTATAGCTTTATCTATCTCATCTACTTCAAACGTTTCTTTACCTTTCATGGGAGCACCATACATTTTCTCAAAAACTTCAAGCAGTTCTGTTTCAGCAGCTCTCATATCATTAACGAACACAACCTTGACTCTATTGACTGTACTGTCATATCTTTGAGTTATATTATATGTTCTTCCTATCTTATATCTCTTTGTATTGAAGTCTTTCGGTTTCTGAACGATGTAAAGTAAGCCTTCACTGCAACGTTCTGAGTCGAATGAACCATATGTTATGAAGTTATATCCAACAACTGGGTCTAACCATAACAAAACTATTGGTATAAGACTTTTGTCAATGAGATATGCTCTTGTTCCATGAAATGCTACTGATATCATAAGCTCGGGATTTCTTGTCAAAATTTTCTGAGTTGAAGCATTTCTAACCCAGTCGTTTGTTTTCTTTCCAGATGGAGATATAATGTCTGACAAAGAATATTTGTTGTATTTCTTTGAGTATCTTACGTTTAAATCACCTATTCTAACCACTTTGGTGTCATTGTCTATCTTTCTAACTGTTTCAAACTCAATGTTTGTCATTACTGTCTTTACATACAAAATAAAAAAAAATAAATAAAAATAAAATTAGCGTTATTTTTCTAACTAATGAAAATTCATTATTTTTGTGCTGAATTCAATAAAAATAATTTTTAGGTGAAGAGGTGAGATCTCACCTTTTTTTTCACCTAATTTTTCACCTAATTTTTCACCTCTTTTTCACAAGCGTTTTACATGAATTGTACGATGTATATTTGAAATCCTAAACAATTTCGTAGCTTCAATTTCTTCTTTTAGTACATCGAATGTTTTAATCATGCCGAAAGTCTCTTTATATTTCTTCTTGACGTCAAACAGAAGGAAATCTTCTGCAGTTGGATAGTTTTTGTTCAGAAATGTCAACATATCCATTTTATCTTCTGCTGGCTTTTCTACTTCTTTCTTTAAGTCTGCATAGTCGTTTCGCATTCTTTCTATCTCTTTGACTGAGTAGTTATATTTTCTTATTGCTGCCTTACATTTTGAACATTGCGGATTCATTTTTGCGTTATATATTGAAATAAAACCAGCTAGAACAACCAAGGCGTCAATGGTTTTCTTTAACTCAAACATAGCGGGTCTTATTTGTTCGTTCCATACCTTACCTCTTCTGTCTTTATCTCTTATTTTCCAAACACATTTTGCAACTAATGAAACAAAGTTATCGTATGTCTTAAATTCTTCGGATTTGTAAAGGTCAGAGATGTTTTTATATACCATGTCGCAATCTTTGTCCATAACTTTATGGTTGCAATGAAAACCAAGGAATTCATAATTTACTTTACGTATGAATTTCTTAATTTCTACTGAGTCAGTTGCTTTGACTTCAATTTCGTCGAATTCAGGAATAGTTAGTTTTTGCTGCTGAATTTCAGGCAATTTGGGTAAATGGTCAATAATGTCCTGCATGTCATAAAGATACTGTTCATTTGTTTCATCTTTCACACTACAGTCTAAATTACTTGTTAAAAGTTCTTGCTTTATCTTCTGGATTTCTGTTTCAAAAGTATATGAAGAAGGAATAAAGCTTTTCATCTCTATCAACATTGACGTAGGATTCATGACTAACGAGTTTGGTGCTGTAGTTGTTTGAATTGTTGTTGTGCCGATTGTTGAAATCATATCTTTTATACAAAATAAAAAAATAAATAAAAATAAAACTAACTTTATTTTTTCTATCTTAAGGAAATTCATGAAAATTCACGAGGGTGAAAAAAGAGGTGAAATCTCACCTCTTCACCTAAATTTATTTTTGTCTGATTTCAGCAACAAAATGAACGAGGTCAGGATGTATGTAAATACCTTTGAATTCATTTATAACGCCCTTAATAAGCTCATAAAATGCTTGTTTTGAGGTTGAGCCACTTTTGGCTCGACCGTATTCTTTCATCCAAAACTCAAGAATTTCCTGCATGAATTTTGTCTGATTTACATCTAATGAAAAAGTTTAGAAGAATTTTCTTATTCTTTCTGGTATATTTTTGTCTTTCCAGTACTCCCGCTCTAATGGTCCCAGATGTGTTGGCTTTGACTCTCTCAAGTTCTTAGATGGTATAACATCTTCAACACTTCCTTCATATCTTACTTTATAAGTGTCATCGTTTATGTTATAGCCAAGTATTTCAATAACCACTCCTCGCTTTGCTTCGTCAATGGTTTCAGCAAGTTTGCCATTACTACTTTCGACTAATTTATGACGAGGGTAAAATGCTATGGAGTCGTCAGCAGCTTTTATAAGATATCCATTACCTTGCGTAGAGTCTACGATATAATAATTTCGACTTAACATTAAACGTTTCTTTGTCAACGGTTTGTCGTCAAGAACTACACGAACTTTTGTACCAGGAATGAGGGTAAATTGTGTTGAATTTCTGATATTTTGTGTTTGGCTTCGTTTCTTTTGTATATACTTTTCTTCTTGTTGTTGTGTCATTGAATTTGGTGTATGTCCTGTTGTAGAATTTGTTGAGGAATTATATACTTCGAGAAAATGTTTCATTGTTTCTTCGGTAAAGTCTCGCTCTTGATTTAAATCTCTGAGCGTTCTTATGAAGCGATTAATGATGCCGAGTATGTTATGGTTATGGTCTTCAGTAGTGTAGTGAGTTATGTTATGCTTAATGAGAAATTCTGTGATTTCGTTGCTGAGGTATGCACTGTCTTGGTCTGATGTTAAAGTACTTGGGCTATGTTCTGCTACAAACTTTTGTAAAACTCTTAACACTTCACGAGTTCCTTTATTTTTCATTATATACGCAGAAGCTTTACGAGTGTTAACATTAATGAAGATGAGGAATGGTTTATGTCCTCCTTTTCTGCTTTGAATGAGAGTGTCAAATTGGTATGCGTCAGGAGTGTTGGAGTAAATTGGTAAAAAGTAGTCGTAAGGGTTTATTTTTGTTTGATGTACAACATTTTTGTCAAAGAACCTTTTCACTTCAGCTCTGTTAGTAAATCCCCAACTCTTTGCAGCTTCATTGAACTTCTTAAATGACCTCCATGGATGTTGTTCGAATACTTCTTTCAAGCTCATTTATGTAAAGTTAAAGATTTTATTCTAGGCTCAAGCGCGTTCATTGAACTCTATACCATGCGAATACAGTCACAAATGGTGGCATATAATCTTCACCCGAGCCTGTTGGATTTGTTGTGAAAGTATGGACATGATTTCCTCCTGGTTCAGTTGGTCGAAAAATCTTTTTTGCTGCATTGTTATAAGATGGAGATAAAACGTCATTGCCAGCTTCATACTCTGAGTTGTATAATGGGTGGTCTCTTAATGAGTGGCTATGGTCGCCAGAAAAGTTTGTAGTTCCTGTATGAGTGTGCGGTGGAAGGTTTGCTTTAGTAATTTTCTTCGAACCTCCTGTTTGCTTTGAAGAGTTAGCACAGTATAAGAATTTGTCTACAATCTGCTGCCATGTACCAAAACCTAAAACACTTGCTGGATTTGTTGAGTTCATTGACGTATAAATAGAGCCTATAGGATATATGGTTTCAAGAATCTGAGCCTTCATTGTTTGAAGTTCATGTTTAACATTTATAAATCCATCGCCATCTACAATATTTATATTGTTTGTTATTAAACCATTAGGAAAAGTCGGAGGATAAATTCTTTGTTCATGTACAGTTGCACCGTTTCTTCCTGTTTTTGTTACTATTTCGATGCATGCCTTAATTTCTTTAATCCTGATTGTTTGAAATTCTTCATGCACGTGCTCTTTATCAGCTTTTCCATTAACCGCAGCATTTACTTCCGACTTCTTTGCATAATTTTCATCTACATAAGTTTTGTCAGCTTTCTTATCTAACATTGCTGGTAGTTCATATGCTTCAAAGTTTCTGGCATGATCTTCGATATTCCTGCAACTGTTATCTAAATTGTTTAGTGTATCTTTTACGCTTGTACTCGGATTCTCTAAAGGTGCACTTGAACCAAGGTTATAGTTCAATATTACATCGTCTGCTCTAACAGTAGTGAAGGATTCGTTTGTATGGTTCTTGTCGGCTTTACTGTCTAATGTAGCTTGAAGTTCATTTATATCGGAGATGTTGTGTTTATGAGATTTCAAAACTTTGTTCATTGCTTCGAGTTCAACTTTGTCAGCTTTACTTTTAATAGCATCTTCAAACGTTATTTTTGACTTAACTCTCAAAGTAAATCTTGGTTCAACTAATACACCGTTAACATTGAAAGTAGAGGCATAAATTTCACCGGTATAACCAAATGCTTCTGGTGCTTTAGCTACATCATACTGTACAGTACAGCTTATGTCATAACCTTTAGCACGAATGTATTTATATCTTCTTTCATTAACATTTTTTGTCTTCGCTTCATCACTTCGTGTTAAATATCCATGGTAGTCCGTTATAATCTGTTCGTCTGAAGTTATATAATGAACGTGGTTCTTGACTTTATCACTCAGAGCTAAAAGCTCATTTTTGTCTGCTTTTTCGGCTAATTTCTCATTAACATCATTCACTTCTAATTCAACTCTTCCGCCAGAACTCTTATTATCATTAATCTTTTTCATTAATTCGGTAATTACGTCATAAAGACTATATTCTGTTTTCGGTTTTGTAAATAATGAGTCAAAATTTCTTTTCATCATTACATCGCTGACATTAATGATATCACCAATTCCTTTTTCATTTATTCTCTTCATTAATTCTGCAATAATGACGAATATATAATCTGTTAATTTATTCTCTTCATCGAGGGTTATAGAATGTTTTGAAATTGAATCATTAACTCCTCTAAATAAATCAATAACTTCAGGATACACGTTTTTAATGTCTCGAATAACCCGACCAGTATCCTGTTGTTCATGTTCTTCGTTCCCGTCGTTACGTGGTTTTAAATCTCTAACCATCATCAACGCAGCCATAACCGGAGGGTTTGTTGCTATCTGTTCGAAAATCCGTCCGTTATGTATGGTATATCTAAATAATTTCTTTGTGTTTGTTAAAACATTTGAAACAAGTCTTTTAAAACCATCTACAAAATTTTCCCTGTTTCACCTAATGTTCTTGCAGCATTTACAAGCTCACCCATGCCCGCTTTTGACCCCAAAAACGTCCATATTGCATTTATTTCACTCTGTATAGTTGTCCATTCAGCAAAATTAATTCCTGCATTCGCTAAGCTGAAAATGAAATTCAGTGGATCGAACTTAATTCCACCTTCTTTTTCAATTTCAACGAACTCACTAACATGAGATTTTAAATATTCTTTCGTTAAAATTGTTTTCCCTGATGTTATGTCATTAACGAAACTATCACCGTCAAAAGTTAACGAATTCAATTTCGTCGTTGATGCTTTTATTTCATACACCGCTTTATCAATAGTTTTTGGCTCACCTTCTTTAGAAGCATATGAAACATTAATGAATGAATTATATGTATTCGTGAATGAATTAAAATCAATGATTTTCATTAATGACGCCTTTAATGATTCATTTACTGTCGAATCCCTTAAAGTAATTAATGAACTGTCATTTATGAAAGGTACACTGCAAACCGTCGAGTTTGGATCAAATGCTGTAGTTGGTGCAGGAATATTAATGATATAAGTCATTAAATCATTAAGTGACGTAAATAATGTTGTCGTTTTTGATTTAATTTCTTTAGCATCTGTTATATATGGTAATTTTATTTCTGTAGTTTCTGAATTAAAGATATTCGCTAAAATGTTTTGTAAACTGTTTTGAACAGCTGTGTAAACCGTTGAATCCGGAACTCTTACGATTTCACCGTCCTTAATAAAAGGCATTGCACATGGTGTAGTGCTTGGGTCAAATCTTTTTGGGTTATGATTCAACATATATTCTAATGCTTCATAAACAGACCTATATACAGTTGTATTATCTTTTTCAATAATTTCACCGTCCTTTATAAACGGCATAGTACATGGAGTTAAAATAGGGTCAAACTTTTCATAGTCCTTCCATGTTATGTATTTCTCAGTATTTCCATCAGTGATAACAATATATTTGTCAGTAAGTGTGAGAGAGTATTGACCAAAATATAAACGTTTAGCTCTGTCAGCTTCATACGCATATGCAGCTATACTCATATTTTAATGAGAATAAAATGTTGTTCTATTTGCAAAGTACAGACCCAAACGAATACGGGACAGTAAAGCTACAAACAAACTTAGGTCTACAGAATGAGGCGCTTGCATTCAGAATGGTTGACTTCAATACTATCGCTTCATTCGTTATAACAGATGAAACAGATTTCATGGAGATTGAAATAGATGGAAAGAAGCACAAAATAAGATTTCACAATAATGTAGAATATAAGATGGAAACATTAGCTGGAGTGTTAAATGCTCTCATAAATACTACAATAAACAAGGATAACGAAGAAAACTTAATGAATGTTAAACTTATTGCAGGAGTTTTGAAGTTCAGTTATGCGAAGGAGTTTAAGATACCAAGAATGAGTCATAGAGTACAACTTCTTTTGGGAGCATACCATATGACATTTCCTTTGAAAAGTGTTGACAAAACGATTGAGATGAAATCTGTTCCATACGTATGTTATGGCAATTGTTTGTACATTGAGTCAAAAATAGCTAATGTCACAGGTATTTCAGGAGTTAATAGTAAAGGTTCAGTAGAATATAAATCCTTCTGTTATGCAGTCAATTCAATGTTCATTCCAAACGTTCCTGTCACAGCAACTCATTTAGGTAAGTGGGTTCGCATTAGTCCTCATAATTTGAAAGACATGCAATTCAGACTTGTTGACTTGTTGAATGTTAACCCATGTGTTATCTTTAGGCAAGTTCCAGGGTTGTGATGGAAATCTTTGCGTCAGATATTTTCTATTAGTGTCACAATTTGATGCATTGTCTATGAATATCGAAATATGAGCGAATCTGATGAATATGCTTCTGACTGGGAGTAAATTCGTTTAGCTGTCGTTCTGCATGTATTTACTTCGGAATAAAAAATACTATTTAACTTCATTATTCTCACTCTTTCTTCTTGGCATTCGTGTGGAAGTTGTTTCTTGACATTTTCAATGAACTGTACATTCTCTTTTGTCTCAACTTCTTTCACTGGTGGGTCATTGGGTTCTTTGAAACTCGGTTTGTTTTCAAAGAAATTCACGAACTTGCAATAAGCTCTTGGTTCGTTATTGAAAGTACATCTGCTTCTTTCTTTCTGGTGTTCTTGTTGTTCAGTTTGAATTAAAGGCTTAATGGGGTAACTTCACCCTTGCCATCACACTTAATGTTGTCGCTTCTGCATTCGCTAATGGGAACCTTTCTTTTTCTTTAACAGTATAAATTTACCATCTTTATCTGACTTACAATAATAGAAAAGGATGTGTGTATTCCTCTTGCGTTCATTTAATATAATAGACATCATCGCTCTGATTTTGACAAAGCTCATTTTACATCGGTTTAAAGTTTAATTTTGTTTTTTTATCTGCAGTCAAATGACTCAGACAAGCCCTCACAGGACAAGATCCCATAGGGGTCATAGATGTTGAAGCATTGAAGAAGAGAAATTACGGAGCAAATTTTATCCGAACTGAAGGAACAAAAAACAAGAACAAAGCCAGAGAGACCAAGAGAAAAACTTAGTGAAACCAAACTTGCTGCATAGCTGCTGGAAAGACAAAAGAAACCACGTTTGCTGGCGAAGAAAGCTAGGGAAGAAGCGAAGCAAAAGCAGAAGTTAAGGAGAAAGAAGTAAAATGGTTTATTTTTATTGAACCGAATTAAATGTATAGACAAATACTTTATCCTGTTGCGTTCAGTTAGTGAAAAGCCCTGAAACTTGTCAAAATAAAAGGGAACAGCAGTAACGTTTAACGTTCCAAACAGACTGATGTGAACATAAATGAAGAGAAGACATTGGCATTAACATCTATAGTATATAACACTGTGCATTTTCAGAAAGGTTGAATTATACTTCAAGTCGAGATAGAAAATGAGCGAACAGTCTTTAAAGCGCCCAAAACATTCTACATAATACAAAATACTTTAAAGAGACGACTACCAAAAACAATTCGGTGCAAATCGTATGAATTTCATTTAATGAAGATGTCACGAAGAAAAAGTTCAACATTGAAATTAGTACAAATTTAACAGGCCTTTACGTGAGTTTCTTGCACAACTGAAAGAAGAAGGTAGTTCAGCCACAACTGATAGACTTTCCATTATCGAATTTTAATGAAAATGAAATGGAACACAGACTGTCAGTTTGTTGTTATCTCACCATTCATGAAGTAGCTAAAAGAAGAAAATCATTACGTTATAAGATTTCAAATCTCTGAACCAAGTGATGATTTCAAAGAAATGTTTTCAATTATGAATGCAATCTTCCGAGAAAAATGAATTTTCCGAAAAGATTGTACCCAGGCATTTGGGATAGAAAGCAAGCTATTTTATATTCAAACTTAAGTAAGGGAGTTGAAAAATGAGTTCATGGTCATACAAGAACTTTCACCCACTTCCTAACCCTAAATACTAAAATTAGACTGGCTTCAGATCCGTGATTTTGGATAGAACATGTTCTCCACTCATGACATAACCATGCCAGTGTCCTTACCTCCAGACCATAATGGACTGTCTCTACATTGAAGCACAACTCTTAAACTTCTACCATCAGCAAGTAATTCGTAAAGAATCTGTAGCTTATTATTTAAATCACGAATGACCCTCATTGCTGACAAAAATAAATGACCTCAGAACTTTCAATTACGAATAAAGCTTGTTTTAGTCGTTATTGAGAGTTTAAACTCTCTTCAAAAGCAAGGTTGAAACATGAACCTTACATAATCAAATTCCAATCTCTTGACCGTCAAAAAGTCTTTATAAAATCTTCATTAACACTGAACTCCAGAGTCTTGTCATATATGTTCCTTGCGAACCGTATGTATCTTTCTCTTTCCATTGTACATAGCATTGTAAGCAGTCAGGAAAACCTTTCATTAGCGGTTAAACAATAACATCTTGCTTCACGGCTTTCATTTGCAGTGAAATTGCAACTTCATTTAATCATTCGTTGAGTAAGGTCTATGTAAGTCTTCTTTCCACAAAATATGACTTGTATTGCTAAACTTTGTTTTCGGTGTTGTGATTTTCTGCGAAGTCGCAATGGAACTGACCTAAGTTTTACCAATAAGTCTCTTCCGTATACTTTCTCTAAACTCTTAGCAACGTTGGTAGTCTTCATTAAGTATGGATGCAATCACATGTCCGTATCGTATAAAATATGATGTCCCTATTCCTAATCCTCAGTACAGAATACTTCACACATTATTCTCGTTCGACAAAGACAGAATGTTTAACAACAAGTGGGCAAAAGTTAAAGTGTCTGCAAATGCTTTCGTTAGCTTGAAAAATAGTTATCTGAACCACCCAAAACCTTCGAACTTCACTATATGGTTTAGTTTCCTGGATGGCAATATCTTATAGCATCTTTGTCATTTACTATGGTTATTTTTTGACTCAATGGAGATAGAATAGTTTTGCCATAAATACTGTTCAGAATGAGCTTTATATTTTCTTCAAAGGATTTCCTTCTTTCTTATACTTTACCTTAACTCAAACAACTCTTTACTTCATCTCTTTTCTAATATCTCTGTTTCCATCGTAATAGTATCCTTGCAACAACTTCACATTTGACACCTTGATATTTTATGAGGTACTTGTAATGTTTATATGTCAACAATACATTAAACAGCAAGTGGTTTGATACTTTTCTGGGAACGTTTAAGTTCTTGGATTTAGCTTTCAGGGTCACAAACTATTAAAGGAAAGTGTCTATTGTATTGCCAATCTCTGTTATCTTAATGAAGAATCAAAGAAAGCCAGACACAAACTTTTCACCAATGGGTTCCTTTTGGTCGGTCATCGAATTAAATTTCATGAGAACTCTGTTTAACTTTCTTTCTTCATAAACTTTGGATACGCTTCTAAGAGTATGAAATCTTGCTATGCGATGGATATAAATGAAAACAGCGTCGAATCAGCAATGAGTTTCTTTCGTCTTTTGTTTACATGTTATCTGAACAGCATACATCTTCCACCTTGAAACAGCGTGAATAAATTCTCTGGTTTATTTGAGAGGTCATATAAGATTTCCCATTCGGGAAGTACACTCTGTTCTCCAAAATTTTGTTACAATTGAACAATACTAACAGTAGTCATATACGTTTTAAAATCAACTTCTTTCAATATGGTCATTTGCGGAACTTAACAAACCTTACTCTTAAAAATTCTTTACATTCTTTGTTTTTGCAAATAAAATGTCTATACTTTCTAAGCGAATGGTTCTATCTTCTGGCCAACTTGATGGAATCTATGTTTTTCATGAACTGTATCTGCATCCCGGATAAACTTACACTGCTTCAGACATGACACCAGTTCTGTGTCATTGCTAACAAAGTAACTGTTGTGTAGTTGTAATGGAAAATACTTTTCGTTCCTGTTTGTAAGTTAAAACATGAGCAGGAAATAGTTTAAGCTTCTTATTTATAACACTGTTAAGAGTCTTTGTATAATAATTGCCCTTCCTTTATATAAGCCAGTTATTGCATTGTTTCGTGAACTTTAATTGATGGGGTCCTTTCACTTCTGTCATGTGTGTCTTAAGAATGAAGTTATATCAAACTAGGGTATACTGGAAATAATATTAACTTTGTCCAGGAAAGTCGTTCCAAAAATTCTGTTGCACAGTCTGACCGCCAAATGCTTTCACTCACTGAACATCTTCACTGTCATAACCAATGTTAAAAGCTTTATGAAACCTCTTGCGTATGCACTCAAAGTCAGCACAAAGAAAACGTGCTCAAGGATGAACTTGCACTATTTTTATTTACTTCTTTGCACTCGCGCTTTCTGCTTCAGTTGTACACAATACTTTGGAGCATACTGTCAAATCTTTAAATGGTGCAATAGTTCTGTTTATATTAAGTCAGTCGTATATGGTGAAAAGTTCTCATAAGAAATAGGTTTCGAATATTTGCACTCCCCACAATGTTTTCATAACATCACCATAGTGGTGTGAATTCTATCATAAGCGAACTACATATTTTCTCTCTCATTTGTATAAATTCGTTCATTTGTCTTTTCAATGTTCATTCCACACACTCCTTCAAAGATTTCTATATAGTTTGCGAAATGAAATATGTTGTCATTAGGTAAGGTCTTTTCGATTCTGCATGTCAGTCGTCTTCAACAAAGAAGTTAAGTCAATAGTTCGAACAGTTTTACAATTACTTTTGGTAATGTATCTCTTTAATTTCATATGTCTTAGTCATGAAATAACAATGGTAACATTAAATGGCTCTATCCTGTTGCTGTCAGAAAATTTTCTTGATACTATTAGACTTTGAGGAAAGTCTCTACACACAATGACTTCTTTCTCATTGTGGTCAATAGTTTCTCATCTTACTCCAGCCTGAATGCAATAACAATAAAACGAAACAATTGTCTTCTGGTCATTAAGTGTTGCAGTTCTTTGTTCAGTTCATTGAGATTTGGTAGCGTTCAAGATTATATGTAATGTTGCAAAAGATCACTTCCAGGAACTGGACCGCTTCTCTCTTATAAAACTTCTTTTCAACCAAGGATTTCTTTCAAAGCTTCTTAAGTCTTGGTTCTCCTGTTTGTTAAGAGTCTGTTCAAAATCTTTCTGTCTTCTGTTCATGTGCTTTCATCTCTATATGTCTCTTT